CCAGGTGTCTTGGTAACTTTGACTGTTTTGAAAGACAGTACGGACAGTGAAATGGTTTGTCGTATGACCGGCCATTTGCATTGTTCGTAGTTGTAACTAATATATTTGGAGGAATTGCCGCTGTCTCACACGGCAAGGCTTTTGCTTTTTGAGACATAGGATAGATGTACGAATCCCCTGAATCGCTTTCAGAATCCTCTATCTTGTAACTGCTCCCCGAATCACTCCATGCTTGTTCCGAATTTGTTGAACTTTCCCAAGTGTCTTGAGTCTCCCCTCGAGAAGTTTCGTCAACTGCAAATGGCGCCAACGGAACTGGTGACTGTTTTCTAGAATCATTTGCAGTTGTAGATATTTCCTCAGCGGTTTCCGTAGTGCCTTGAGTCTCCCCCCGAGAAGTTTCGTCAACTGCAAATGGCGCCAACGGAACTGGTGACTGTTTGCTAGAATCATTTGCAGTTGTAGATATTTCCTCAGCGGTTTCCGTAGTGCCTTGAGTCTCCCCCCGAGAAGTTTCGTCAACTGCAAATGGCGCCAACGGAACTGGTGACTGTTTGCTAGAATCATTTGCAGTTGTAGATATTTCCTCAGCGGTTTCCGTAGTGCCTTGAGTCTCCCGAGAAGTTTTCGAAGTTTCGTCAATTGCAAATGGCGCCAACGGAACTGGTGTCTGTTTGCTAGAATCATTTGCAGTTGTAGATATTTCCTCAGCGGTTTCCGTAGTGCCTTGAGTCTCCCCGAGAGTTTTCGTCAATTGCAAATGGCGCCAACGGAACTGGTGTCTGTTTGCTAGAATCATTTGCAGTTGTAGATATTTCCTCAGCGGTTTCCGTAGTGCCTTGAGTCTCCCCCCGAGAAGTTTCGTCAACTGCAAATGGCGCCAACGGAACTGGTGTCTGTTTGCTAGAATCATTTGCAGTTGTAGATATTTCCTCAGCGGTTCCGTAGTGCCTTGAGTCTCCCCCCGAGAAGTTTCGTCAACTGCAAATGGCGCCAACGGAACTGGTGTCTGTTTGCTAGAATCATTTGCAGTTGTAGATATTTCCTCAGCGGTTTCAGCGTAGTGCCTTGAGTCTCCCCCGAAAGTTTCGTCAACTGCAAATGGCCAACGGAACTGGTGTCTGTTTGCTAGAATCATTTGCAGTTGTAGATATTTCCTCAGCGGTTTCCGTAGTGCCTTGAGTCTCCCCCCGAGAAGTTTCGTCAATTGCAAATGGCGCCAACGGAACTGGTGACTGTTTGCTAGAATCATTTGCAGTTGTAGATATTTCCTCAGCAGTTTCCGTAGTGCCTTGAGTCTCCCCCCGAGAAGTTTCGTCAATTGCAAATGGCGCCAACGGAACTGGTGACTGTTTGCTAGAATCATTTGCAGTTGTAGATATTTCCTCAGCAGTTTCCGTAGTGCCTTGAGTCTCCCCCCGAGAAGTTTCGTCAATTGCAAATGGCGCCAAATGAACTGGTGTCTGTTCGCTAGAATCATTCGCATTAGTTGATCTTTTCTTGGAATTTATGGAACCTTGGTCTTCATTATCCCCAGGCGAAGTGGTGGTACTAGTCCTTTCAGCGGCATTTTTCTACAAAAGATTGAAATGCTATATATCATGAACGACTGAGAGCCAACCCTACAAAAATCTTTTTACCTTTGTTGTCTGAGCGATTTGTTAGAGTTATCTTATTTACATTTATTGAATGAAAAAAGTATGATAATGATAGATACCTTACGCCAAGGGTATTGCTTGGAATCCTTGCCATAACAATACCGCAGCTCCTGTCCTTTAGTGATTGGTCTAAGAGCAAAAAAACCAATGCCAAGCCTTCCTTCCTCTTCTAAAACCTTTGGCATGCAGTTTGGCCTTTTAGGTTCATCATTAATCAGCCTTCCTAAGGTTCCATCTTCTCTTGTTGCATCAATCCTGGGAGTGCAAAATATATCTGTCAAGTGACTTAGTAACTTTTAGTTCTATTTTTCAATGTTTATCAGTTATCATTAATCAATCAGATATTACAAACTCAATATGTATTAAAGTCATATGATCCCTAAAATACCGTGAAGCCGATTAACGCACTGTTCTTTAAATAAATGCAAGTTTCCAATGAGGCAGATGATCCCAACTCACCAAAATGTGGACCCTTTATGTTGTACCTCAAACACGTATGTGTCATTGTCTTCGGGGCTTTTTGTAGTGACGGTACCTTCATATTTAAGCAGGAACTGACCAGTTTCAAAATCTCTTCTGCTGTAAACACCTCTTCCTGTAATGAGTAGTTTATCAAAGCTACATCGTAGGAACTACCCAGTTTCACAATTATTTTCATGATATATTATTTTATACTTTGTTCATTGCGTATGTTCTTTGTCTTTATTTCAAGGCATTACATTTTACATACCTGAGCCATCCGTATTAATCTGTACTCGAAAATCCTTCTTATTCCAAACATACTGCAGAACTTGTCCTTTTTGCTTATTTCTTTCGGATCGCCTTGTCCCTGTGAAATACCATAATCAGTATTAAATCCATGCTGGTAAATTAAATGTAAAATACATTACAAGCATTTTGGATGCTATCATTGGTACACAGTAGCCAGTATAGCTTGCTACCATGCGATATTAATTACATAAAGCATGCACTATCAGGGTACATATTAGTATTTCGGTGCGTGCAGTAAATGCAGGTAGTATTTATATGACAAACCCGAGCAGCCAGTCACAGAATGGGTACTATATTAATCAAAATGACACCATAGAATGGTTTCCTTGCCATCCAAGATTTACCTCCACATTCAAAGGCTTCGCTTCTGGCACGAAACTATGTTGCAAATTGATATTAGGTTTTGAAGAACTTATGATAAAAGTAATGAACATATTAATTCAGTTTAAACAGAAACATGTATTATGAAACAAAAAACCCCATTACTGGTGACCATTTAATTATTAGAATAGGACTTCAAGCAAAGATGTGAAACAAATGATTGTGCTATGCCAATATTCCAAGTGGGTCGTTTTTCATTATACTGTGCCTGTAATAATGCATGTGCCTGATTGAATCCCTTTTGAGGTTTCAATGCACAAATGCATGTAGTGTCAACATGTACATGTATGTATGTATGACTTCACCTGGCTTTAGGGGTGTCGCGATACGCGAATGTATCGATACATCGATACATTTTTACTGACGATACGATACGCGATACATGCTTGCGTGTATCGATTCCTATTTTAAAACTTTATCGATTCAAATTTTTATGCTATATCCATCTCCGTCAAAGTCTTGATAGTAAAATTATACCAGACCACTCCGATAAATAGATGTAGTTAGCTTTACTTAAAAAATAGGTTGGAAACTAACAGCTTTTGTGATTGGCTAGACTATTTTGATGGACCAGTCAGCGAACGTGTACGTTGCCGGTAAGGTAATGCTATGAAAAGGCGCGATAATTATGTATCGCGATACGTATCGTATCGTGACCTTAAAATCGTGATACGTATCGTATCGTGAAATTGGTGTATCGTGACACCCCTACCTGGCTTACTCCCATCGCTCTACCGTCCAGCAGTACATCAACAAAATCAACCTCAAATTTCAGATTCTGTCCAACAACTCTGCCACGCTTAAAATAGCTGTGGAATTCCTTGTTTTCATCGTGAGTCTTGACATGTATCACCAGAGGATCAGCCGATAAATAAGTATGTGCAAAAGTACATTATTATACTATGATTATTTTTTAAAATAATATTATGCATGGAATTGTGATTGTATCAATAAGAATTAATGTAAATTGGGTTAATGAAATAGTCTACAGGCTGGTCACTTGTAATATGATTGTACTTCTTTAGAACTAGAAATTCAAGATACGAACAATTTGTTCACTTGTAACGGACTTATGTTTCCTTACGGTTAACATCTGAACACATAGAAGTTATTGGAAATACAAGGAATGAATTTGCTTCCAGTTGTAGTTCAAGACAGAAGCAATCGTGTCGATAAATAGTTAGAGAATACCTACATCGGAGGGGATAATGTTACAGCTATCTACCAGGTACTAACATCATGGGTATATCTACCTATTTCGTATTTCAAATTAATTAAGATTTTAGGTGGGGAAGGTGAGATAGGTTGAAATGAGAGGGCAAGTGACTTGAACTTAGACTTGGGGTCTGAGCTTGACTTCCAGAGCGGAGCGGAAACACCAACCACCCCTTTTCATTAATGCATTTTCATTATCTATCTACCCCCTCCACATATAGAAAGTTAACAAAAAACCTAATACATGGAATAATATTTCATAAAAAATGTATAAATATCCACAATTATATGTGAACAAACCCGACGTAAGAGAATGGTCCCGTGTATTGTCTATTTTCGTCATATCTTCCTTTATTTCTGCGCATAGAAGAAAATACTAAGGAAATACGTTTGGTATACCTAGATTGCATGCATATACATAGTAGCATGCTTGTTTCCATTAGTTTTCTAAATCACATAATCATCATTCACAGATGCACTTTCACCATACCTTCTTGGACGTTGACGGTATCTTGGTTTGTTAAGTGTTTCTGAAGACATATTTTTATTGACATAAGCCAAATATCACACCTTGACAAGCACTATTTCATGAAATATACATGTCTTATGCTTTTAGAGGTGATATAGACATTACGTCCCTTGAACAATATTTCGGTCATTCTAGGTGTGTCATCCAATAGAGAGTGGGCTGACCATGATTGATTGACATAGAAAAAGACAGATACAGCAAGAGAAAGACAGTGGGATTACGAAAGATCCCTATCTAGTCTAGATTTTAGTCTACCATTTGACCAATGAGAATGGTAGGCACATACCTTAACATTTGAACAGTTGCCGTGGTTAAAAGTTCAACACGGTCGCTTCTGTGAGGTTCTGAGCATTTTACCACAAAGAATATTAAATAATATTTTGTCAAATGTTTTTTGTGAAAGAAATAATTTTTTAAAATTGGGAATTTCTGAAAACTCACACTTACCCGAAATGCCTTCATCTTCCCTCTTTCTAATGTCTTTCTGAATGTACACAATATAAGTTCTGCCTTCTGCCTGATGCGCCCACAGTAGGCAAAGTGCCGACACTGCAAGTCAATATGCCATCTTTATTACTTTATCATTGTAGCTTGAAATAAAATGGTTAATTAGCTCGAAAGCCTTAGAAATTGAACAACAAATATCGAACAGTTTGTTTAGTGAACAATTATCTTTTTCATAAACACATAACAATGAGAAATACATAACAGTCTAAAACACGTTGCTTTGTGCTAATAATTATACGTACCTTCTTCACAGTTGAGATAATTTCAGGATACTTTCTTAGTGCTGCTCCATACACAGTCAGGGTTCCCAGCTTTGATATAGCTTTCAAACACTGTGGCAAGTTCTGTAATGAAAGACTTCTCCTTGCGCTAATCCGTTTAAACATTTACGCAATGATGACGTAGATCAATCACCATTCTAAAACATGGTTTAAGAAAAATATGTGAAATATAACCTTACGTGAATAACAAGATATTTCAAAACTAAACTATGATAGCTCAAGGCAAAACTATTCTTTAATGCAAAACGTAATAGTATGATGCCTGAGGCCACTGCGTCTTGAAATAAGGAAACCTGGCGTCACTATTAAGTGTTGTATTTTATCGAACTATGTTTAGTTATTATCATTTAGTTATTAGCTCATTATTATTAAAATGTTGCTGAATAAACAAAGATCACAATCAAACCTGTTTTCCCAATTGAAGAGAATTCCTAATTTCTTTGTCAATGCAGCTTAGCTTGATAACTGTTTGTTGCACTGAAATAAATATTTATCCATAATTATAAAAAGTGTGTTAGCGGAGGTTATCAGATTTCTTTGTCATAAATATGTTTGTATATAGACACTATGTGTAGATCAAAGCTGACTTTCACTGAGCAGTTTAAATGCATGGAGATACAATCAGGTCCGGGATAAATACGTGTAGATATTTGGGATATAACCTATGAATACATATATTTTACAGTACCTTCCAAAATGAGGAGCACAATCATATGCTGAGATTATCAAGCAACTGCATGTATTTTCTTTTGCTGCTAAACTTACTTGTTTGACGTTGATATATATCCTAGCAACTAACATTCAAAATTACGACTGAACATGTTCAATGATAATTGTATATCTTCTTTAAACTACTTGACACATTTCTTTATCAGCGGGTAATTTTCCGCCAGCAAGTTATCAAAGTGGGCGCGTCATAGCGTATCAAATTACAACACTGCCTTCGCGATTCTTCCATACTGCACTAAAAACATGGGACTAAACTGAACCTGAACGTATTACTTGATATTGTAGCCTACAATCATTATTAATAATGTGTTGTTGATTGTCAAGAAGATGTAAATACAATGTGATAATACGATGTAATAGCCTAATTCAATACATATATCTGTTGAATATTGTCATTAGTACAGGCAGAAAAAAAGCGAAAAACATAATACTCGACTTATTTAATGAATTCCCGTCACACTTACACTACAAAAACTACATCTACAAATAATTTACCTTGACTGAGCAGAAACTGATCTTCCTTCATGTCGGCGAGTCCATGGCGGTAATCAATGCCGTTCCGTGTAAGCGGGGACACGTGTGTATAAGCGCGAAAGTTCGACCAATGCTATACACGAAGCGTGTGTGTAGGCGATTGTGAAATTTACATGCAACCGGGACAAGATACAGTTTCAACTAAAAATACATTTTCTAGCCTTGAAAGGGTCGCGGAAACCATTTTTACTCAGTATCTCAACCGGGGACGTCCCCGGTTCCGTGTGTGTCCCCGGTTGAAGGGTGTGTATAGATACCAATGTCCCCGGTTGCTACCTTTAACAAACACACACACACACACACACACACACACACACATGTTAAACACACACACCTTTAACGTTTTCTGTTGTTAAAAGACCTGTTGAACAGATAACATAGATATCTTAGATGAAGAAAATGTGAGAGATGTTGGACTGTTTCCTCTCTGATGTTTTGCAGATTGGCTGAACTGGAACAGATGCAGAAACTGGAAGAAGACAAGAGACGTCGCCAGGAGGATGTCGAGAAACTCCGACGAGAACGACGCAAGAAGGAAGATGACAAGCGAGCCCAAGATCTGGAGGTAGGTGTAACCATGGTCATAACTTAGAGCTGTAGATACAAAGTTAAGATTGGGTTGACTGGCTCACTACCTTCTTATCATTGTCATATTTCATTCAGCAGTTCCCTCCCTTGTTCAGTTTTCTCCCTTAGTTTGGTGTTGATAGTGAATGTTTACATATTGTGTATGGGTGTGGTTAAGTAACTAACACCAGAGTTTTATTATCCCGCACCACAAAGTGGGAGGGGGATATTGGTTTGAGCTCCGTCTGTGTGTCCGTCAGACATCATGGGGACAGATCAAAAACTCTTATAGATAGGGAAACCAAATTTGATATGTGTTTTCATGACATGACTGCCTTGATGGAGTTCAAAAACGGAAACCAGGTTACAATTTGTTACAGAGTTATGGCCCTTGTCATGTGTTCTTGATTCGTGCACGGTATCCCCAATGGGGCAGATTTTCTCAAAAAACGTTACAGATAGGGAAACCAAATGTGGTAAGCATTTTCAGGACACAAATGCCTTGATGCATTTCGAAAACAGAAACTGTGTTGCGATTCTTTACAGAGTTATGGCCCTTGTTTAGTGGTGGTTAGAGGCAGATGCTCACTCACTCACTGACCTTTCATTCCCCTATTCCATCCACCTTTCACGCCTCACCCTACCACCTTTCCTCTTTCCTCGTTCACTCACTCACTCACTCACCTTTCATCTTCCTTATTCCTTCCATCCTTCACAGGGGCATTGGGGTAGCCTAATGGTTAAAGCGTCGGCTTGTCACGCTGACGTCCCGGGTTCGAATCCCCACATGGGCACAATGTGTGAAGCCCATTTATGGTGTCCCCCACTGTGATATTACTGGAATATTGCTAAAAGCGGCGTAAAACCCAACTCACTCACTCACTCACTCCATCCTTCACACACTCACCCACCCTCTTTCCTCTTCACACTCTCAACTCACTCACTCACTGACCTTTCATCCTTCCTCAGTCCCTCCATTCATCATTCACTCACTCGATCACTCACTCACTCTTGTTTGTGAAGATGAAGGACAACATCCTCCGTGAGGCTGCTGAAGCTGCCCGGCAGGAGGAGGAGCAACGCAGACAGGAAGCTGCTGCCGCCGCTGCCAAGAGAGCCGAGGAGGAGAGACAGGAGGCAGAGAGAGAGAAGAAAGAAGAGGAGAGAAAGAAGAGAGAAGAAATCAAAATACAACAACTTAAAAAAGAAAAGCAAGAGCAAGAGAAGGTATGTTGACATGTCAAAGGTTATTCAGTGCTTGTCCCTGGCTGTGATCTTGGTGCTACGGTGATCATAACTTGCATACTTTAATACTGACTTACGACAGTCGTAGAGCTTTAGTTGTTTCAGAACTGGTTGCGGTTGTACAATGTGATGTTAACTCCCATACTTTAATACTGACTTACGACAGTCGTAGCGCTTTGGTTGTTTCATAATTGGCTGCTGTTGTACAATGTGATCTTAACTCCCATACTTACACTGACTTACGACAGTAGTAGTGCTTTGGTTGTAACGTAACTGGCTGCCGTTGTACAATGTGATCTTAACTCCCATACTTTAATACTGACTTTCGACAGTCGTAGCGCTTTGGTTGTTTCATAACTGGCTGCCGTTGTACAATGTGATGTTAACTCCCATACTTAAACTGACTTACGACAGTCGTAGCGCTTTGGTTGTTTCGTAACTGGCTGCTGTTGCACAATGTGATCTTAACTCCCATACTTTAACAGTGACTTACGACAGTCGTAGCGCTTTGGTTGTTTCATAACTGGCTGCCGTTGTACAATGTGATGTTAACTCCCATACTTTAATACTGGCTTAAGACAGTCGTAGCGCTTTGGTTGTTTCGTAACTGGCTGCCGTTGTACAATGTGATGTTAACTCCCATACTTACACTGGCTTATGACAGTCGTAGTGCTTTGGTTGTTTCATAACTGGCTGCCTTTGTACAATGTGATGTTAACTCCCATACTTACATTGACTTACGACAGTCGTAGCGCTTTGGTTGTTTCATAACTGGCTGCCGTTGTACAATGTGATGTTAACTCCCATACTTACATTGACTTACGACAGTCGTAGCGCTTTGGTTGTTTCATAACTGGCTGCCGTTGTACAATGTGATGTTAACTCCCATACTTACATTGACTTACGACAGTCGTAGCGCTTTGGTTGTTTCATAACTGGCTGCCGTTGTACAATGTGATGTTAACTCCCATACTTTAATACTGGCTTAAGACAGTCGTAGCGCTTTGGTTGTTTCGTAACTGGCTGCCGTTGTACAATGTGATGTTAACTCCCATACTTACACTGGCTTATGACAGTCGTAGTGCTTTGGTTGTTTCATAACTGGCTGCCTTTGTACAATGTGATGTTAACTCCCATACTTACATTGACTTACGACAGTCGTAGCGCTTTGGTTGTTTCATAACTGGCTGCCGTTGTACAATGTGATGTTAACTCCCATACCTACATTGACTTACGACAGTCGTAGCGCTTTGGTTGTTTCATAACTGGCTGCCGTTGTACAATGTGATGTTAACTCCCATACTTACTTTGACTTACGACAGTCGTAGCGCTTTGGTTGTTTCATAACTGGCTGCCGTTGTACAATGTGATGTTAACTCCCATACTTACATTGACTTACGACAGTCGTATCGCTTTGGTTGTTTCATAACTGGCTGCTGTTGTACAATGTGATCTTAACTCCCATACTTTAATACTGGCTTATGACAGTCGTAGCACTTTGGTTGTTTCGTAACTGGCTGCCGTTGTACAATGTGATGTTAACTCCCATACTTTAATACTGGCTTACGACAGTCGTAGCGCTTTGGTTGTTTCAGTAACTGGCTGCCGTTGTACAATGTGATGTTAACTCCCATACTTACACTGGCTTATGACAGTCGTAGTGCTTTGGTTGTTTCATAACTGGCTGCCTTTGTACAATGTGATGTTAACTCCCATACTTACATTGACTTACGACAGTCGTAGCGCTTTGGTTGTTTCATAACTGGCTGCCGTTGTACAATGTGATGTTAACTCCCATACTTACATTGACTTACGACAGTCGTAGCGCTTTGGTTGTTTCATAACTGGCTGCCTTTGTACAATGTGATGTTAACTCCCATACTTACATTGACTTACGACAGTCGTAGCGCTTTGGTTGTTTCATAACTGGCTGCCGTTGTACAATGTGATGTTAACTCCCATACTTACATTGACTTACGACAGTCGTAGCGCTTTGGTTGTTTCATAACTGGCTGCCGTTGTACAATGTGATGTTAACTCCCATACTTACATTGACTTACGACAGTCGTAGCGCTTTGGTTGTTTCATAACTGGCTGCCGTTGTACAATGTGATCTTAACTCCCATACTTACTTTGACTTACGACAGTCGTAGCGCTTTGGTTGTTTCATAACTGGCTGCCTTTGTACAATGTGATGTTAACTCCCATACTTACATTGACTTACGACAGTCGTAGCGCTTTGGTTGTAACGTAACTGGCTGCTGTTGTACAATGTGATGTTAACTCCCATACTTTAATACTGGCTTACGACAGTAGTAGCGCTTTTGTGGTTTCATACAATGGCACTCTGTCAGAGGCTATTCAGTGCATGTCCCTGGCTGCTGATGTACAATGTGATCTTAACTCCCATACGACAATCGTAGCGCTTTGGTTGTTTCATAAAATGGCACCCTAAAATGGTGCCATAAAATGGCATTCTGTAGCCTGGTGTTGATTATACTTCCTAATCTACTGAATAATGTGGGTAATGGTGTAGCTGAGTGGCTAAAGTGTTTATTTTGAAACTTACCGTATCTCACGGTATGCACCTCTGTTCTTCTACGACCATGTGTGGAAACGTGCTGTAGGCTAAGTTGAATGAAAACTTCCAGGCCTCTGACCATCTGACCTCTGCCCCCACTCCAACAGCAGACCTGTCAATCATCTCAATAAGTGTGCCGATCACTCAGATGATCACGTGATGTTCTGTGCCTGTCATACTCGTCTTGGAGCGTCCAGAGAGTCCAGTAATCTGTGATGTGGGGCAGGTCGGGTGGGTATCCATCGCGTGAGATAGGATAAGTATATAAATATACAATTTATAGCAAAATTTTCAAATTTTTAAACTTATCCTATCTCACGGTATGCATTATTCCACGGATGGCTGGTGGGCCGCAGATTACCCTGTGTCAACTCTACAACCGTGAGGTCGCATAACACAAGGAGGCCAGGAGAAAGCACCAACTCCCGATATGCTAACTCCAAACTTGTGATGGGTTGTTTCTGATAACCCCTTAGCTTACACAGCACAAAAACTCTAGGGAGTGGGCGGTCCCGAATTAATGTGGTTTTCGGCCGCACCTTTTGACAAGCAAAAGGACGCAGTTTGGCAAGTAGGCCCCGCCTCCCCGCGATTTATTAAGTGACCTCAGACTCCTACTTGAGCGAGTATCTCCGTCGTCTCTTTCGTCCTCAACATATTAGGGCTGTAATGAATACACTATGTTGCGAATATGATACGTATCACGAATATTGGGTAACGAATACGAATAATTATTCACGAATACAATATTGTAGTTAAGTGATTGATGCACAATATTGAATGCCCATGTTGACAGTGTTAATTTGTCACAGCAATAACCAGTCATCTCATGACACTCAAATTTTGTATGTAATAGTTATAGTTGACAGTAACATGTGCAGCCTTGGCAAACTAACATGACTTGCGCTACTACAAGGATAGTACATGTTCCATTCTTGCATATCTCATTTTGAAAAAGGACATAAGGGTTCAAGTAAAACACACTCCCTTAAAAAAATTGTAAATATTCATGAAAATTCGGTTCTGGTGACCACGAATAACAATTGAATTCATGAAGGGCTACGGTTCGATTCACCGAATATGCGAGTGAATCGTAACAGCCTTAATAACTATATAAATATACAATTTATGGGAAAATTTTCAACCTTGTCACACCAAAGACTTGGGTTCCTGGGTTCAGCTCCCAACATGGTTTCTATGTGTGAAGCCAATTATTGGTGCAACCTCTAGTGATATTACTGAAGTATTCTAAAAGCACCATAAAACCATACTCACTACTGACTTATTGCTTGTTTTAATTTGGTTTTGATTTGTTTTATACTAGACTTTCACCTTACAGGTTTACTGTCCGATGTTGACTGGTATTATGACAATGAATTATTAAGATATGGCTTAAGTAAAGCTGATGCAGTGTTCGTGTTAATGCAAAACCTGCGTGTTTCACACAAATAAATCTGCATTTCATGTACAATATTTTCTACCTGCGTGTTTTGTGTTCTGGGAACAAGTAACTGAGAAACGTATTTTCCCAAAGGAACAGCAAAATAAAATAAAGTTTCTCTTTGCTAATTTGACTTGGGCATGATGACAGTGATGCTCTGATATGCAAAGAAATGACGTCTAAATTTCCAAATTTTTGGGGGGGAACCCCAGCCGCCCCCCAAGAGACCTTGCAGATTTCGGGCACACACCTGCAGTGCATGCACCCTCAAGATTTTTGGGGCTATACACTGTGATGCAAGGTAAACATTTACCTCGTTTACAGAAGTTGAAAGAGCAGCGTGAACGTGAGGAGAAGATGAAGGCTGACGAGGAGTTAGCTGAGCGGCTGAAACATGAGGAGGCCGAGAGAGCCAAGGCTGAGAGGGATCAGAAGATGGCTGCCGAGAAGGCTCGGGCTGAAGAGGCTCGCCGGTTAGCAGAGGAGAAAATAAAGAAAGTCAATGGTAAAAATATGCAGATCATAGAGATCAGTTATCATTTACTAAATATTGTTAGATTATTTACTAAATATTGTTAGATTATTTACTAAATATTGTTAGATTATTTACTAAATATTGTTAGATTATTTACTAAATATTGTTAGATCATTTACTAATGAGCAAAAATAAAAGAAATGTCTGCCAAAATCAGCATATTTTTAAGAATAACAATTTCAACACTGATCTGTTTGAATGGCATTCTAGAAGTTGATGAATAATAAGAAAGCTATGAAACATTATGGATGACAATTTCTATATTATATTATGATGCGACATATAAGAACCTGTAATAATACATCATAATATAAAAAAAGTTTTCATCCATAAAGTATCATTTCTTTCTTAAATGTGAACACTTTGTCCCAATTTGCCTCCTCAGAGCGGTGGGGTAGCCTGGTGTTTAAAGCGTTCGCTCGTCACGCCGAAACCCAGGGGTTCGATTCCCCACATGGGTACAATGTGTGAAGCCCATTTCTGGTGTCCCCTGACATGATATTGCTGGAATATTGCTGAAAGCTGCGTAAAACCCAACTCTCGTACTCCTAAGAGTACTCCGAGAAACATCAGACAAAATTCAGAACTGCTGTTACCCACTTACACACTTGTGATAATTGTCATGAATACACAAAACCATTTAGAGAGGGGAATTGAGGAAAGGATACTTCAGACTCAAACATGGTCTTGACGAACAGGCACAGCTGGTTGAGTAATCTGAGGCACTAACATTCATTGCAGAGTAGTTTCCCTTTGGTGTGCCAGAATCCAGTGATCTTGGTGTTGAATCCCATTATTTGCAACAGTGCATTTATAACATATGGCTGTTGTCATGTTGTGACTGTTGCAGAGACGAAGCCACAGTGGAAACAGGTCCCGTCCAACAACCTGCCTGTTGGTTGGGAGAAGCGGCTTGACAAAAGCACCAACAGATACTTCTACATCAACCACAACCTTACTACAACACAGTGGGAGCCGCCAGTCAAGATTCAACCAGCTTCTACTACAGGTACGTGGTCACTCTCAACTCACTCACACAGCAAGGGGCCCAGGTGACCCAGTCCTGTTGCATTGTAAGACTTAACATTGTAGAGTTGCATTCCTTACGCTTGCCAGGATCTGGTGATCGATTGTATTATGTGTTGTCGCGTAATGAGGTGTAACGTCACGTGACTAATAACTGTTTCTCCAACAACAAGCTTATGCAAATTCTCCAGAATACCTGATTGGTTACAAATAACATAAGTTTCACAGCGCCCTCTTGCCTATATGTTCATGCCCCATTTTCAATTTGTAAATAAATTTAGGCTGTGCTTCACCTGCACAGAGAAATAATATCACCTGATGATGTAACAAGTATGGCAGGATATGAATCATATGACACCCATATTATCCATTCTCTTCCCACAGAGGTTACTTGTCATATCTTCCTACGAACCTCTGTTCTGATACGGCCATATTTCCCGGTTCTTGTAAAATCCCCTAGCGGCAAAAGATCACAACACGAATTATCTCCCTTCTTTCTATCCAATCAGAACACGTGTTACATCGACTTAGATTCAACTTGACTAACACAAGCAAATGTGAGGCCACAAATATCCCCCATCTGCCGGGGACTTGTGTTCATGTTACACACAAGACGTTTAATGGCTAGCTTGTCCGTTGTCAACGAGGGCGATGGAGACGCCACTGATACGCCATAACATGACTGAGTTCTGTCTATAAGAAACGTTTACGCATCGCGCAGGGGAAGAAGTTTAGTTTTCTCGAAGCATATGGAAATTACCGAGGCCTTGCGAATGATCACTTTTGAAACAACGTCGCTGATTGCACAACTAAATCTGATTGCCTCCAATCACGAGTCTTGAACGCTCACACCATGAAAGGGCCGTATTAGAACAGAGGTTACGTAGGAAGATATGACAGGAGTAACCTCTGTGGGAAGAGAATGATATTATCAGGAAACGTATCGTATCACACCCCTACTCAAGTATTACACCGCTGATAAACACCACCATTTTGCAGGAACGTTCACCACCAAGTTGAAAGAAGAACCTGCACAGTCATCACGGGGTCTAACTCGATCTTTCTCGTCTCCTGACATCATGAAACAGATGGCGGAGGAAGGAGACAAGCCACTCCATACGCTCAACTTTGACCGTGCCAGCAAGCCATCACAGAGGTAAAAACGTTTGGTAGAGCTGAAGTGAAGATGTCAAGATTATGTGACTATTTGAGAAAAGGATGCTTCAGACTCAATCAAACATGGTCTTGATGAAGAGGCACAGCTGGTTGAGTAATCTGAGGCACTAAAATTCACTGCAGAGTAGTGTCCCTTTGGTGTGACAGAATCCAGTGATCATGGTGTTGAATCCCATTATTTGCAACATGTGCATTTGTGATGTCATGACATCTTAAACTACTCAGAAACAATAGAAGCAAATTATGAAGCAAAGATTAACACGCCGTATGAATATTACTGAAATAATTTCATTATATCCGTGTTCTCCAAAATGTCAGCTCAGTGAATGTGTCCGTGTTTAGGTTCGAGCCTCCTGTGAGTAAGCCAGTGCAGAGACAGTATGTGGTGAAGAGACGAGACCTCAACCCCGTCTACGGCAGTGTGGTAAGTCGAATTACCCAGATTACATACAGGTCTGGTAGTCAGTATGTGATAAGTGTCTCTGTGTTGAATAATTACCCAATTACATAGATTACATACAGACTCATTCTCAATGTTTCCATTTTGTTATGTGATGTGCAAATACCTTGGAACAATCCATTCACGAGGAGCTTCATTTTGAGGCGCCAAAGGTAGCTTTGTGGTTTAACCACCAGGCTACCCCACATGGGTACAATGTGTGAAGCCCATTTCTGGTGTCCCCCCATATTTAGAACAAGTAAACCATTTCCCATCTTGATTTGAACCCATGTTGGCACCAAACTTTTAAATTCTTGATAAATCCTGTGTTTGTAAAAAGTTATTGATGATTTATTTTTGTTCATCTTCAGTTTCCAGATTATGCCAATATATGTATTGTTCTTGTGATTGACAGGGTGCTGCGTTGACTGGTCTGCGTAACCTTGGCAACACGTGTTACATGAACTCCACCATCCAGTGCCTAAATAACTGTACTCCACTCGTAGCCTACTTCCTTAACGACTTGTACTTGGATGACATCAACAGGTAAAACGATAATAAACTAGAATCTCCCTTTGAAGTCATGAGATAGGAGAAGTATATAAATATACAATTTATATTAAAATTTTCAATTTTGATAAATCTTTCTTAATACATGAATCAATGTTTTTCTCATGGTTTGATGAATACACAAACCGTTTTGAAAAAGGTCAGATGTTAAATATGTTTTATTTGTGATTACACTTTCTCCGTTAAGTTCAGACTCAGTATTTCTGTGTGTTGAGTCCCCTCTGGAATTCAAACCCACACTCTCAGATTAAGGCACCAAATCGCCAGCACGTTAAGTCAACAATCTAACCTGCTTGACCACCATGGCTTCCACAAAAAATGGATGTCTGAAAATTAGTAGTCTAGAGTTGTCTCCCACCATGATGATACGGGTGGAAGACGTCTTCAGCAGCTGACTGGCTAGCCCTATGAAGATCAATTGGGATAAAATTGGTCTTCACCAACCGATGCTTGTCATTCCCAGTGAACCGCTATCATATAGCCAAAACAATGCCGATTGTTTTGTTAAACAACAAACAAACTTTCCATGTGAAGAACTGAGTTTTCTGATTTTCTGCAACCCATGCTTGTCTCCCCATAAGAAACTGGTTGTTTTTGTAACATGAGTACACAACATCTACTGTGTGAGTGAGTGAGTGAGTGAATTTAGTTTTACGCCGCACTCAGCAATATTCCCACTGTATAGCAGTCAGTCAGTCAGTATGGCAGTGGTCTGTAAATAATCGAGTCTGGACCAGACAATCCAGTAGTAAACATCATGAGCATCAATCTACACAATTAGGATACGATGACATGTGTCAACCAAGTGAGCGAGCCTGACCACCCGATCCCGTTAGTCGCGTCTTACGACAAGCATGGGTTGCTGAAGACCAATACTAACCCAGATCTTCATGGGGTACATCAAGCATAGGTTGCTGAAGACCAGTTCTAACCGGATCTTCCCGGGCATCATCAGTACATGTTTGACTTTGACAGGGATAGCTTTCGGGAGGGCATGCATGGTGAGATGGTGGACGACTATGCTATTGTCCTGAAGGCCTTGTGGAATGGCCAGAACAGATGTATCACGCCCAGAGACCTGAAGGTAGGACACTAACAGTAGACAGGGTCAGGGCTCGATTTAACATAGGTTAACCTACTTGCACCAGGTGCAACCTCAGATAGAAACATAGTTGCACAAGCCAAATTCCAGGTGCACTGCTCTTATTGCAATATATAATGAAAGAAATGTCCTATTGAATTATTCAAAGTTTAGAAGAGCTGACTTATTTATGCTTATAATGTTAGTTTTATTGTTGATCCATTTCTCAGAAATTGACTTGCACCTGGTGCAAGCTAGACAAATAACTAGTTTCTTGTTTATGGCTGTTTGTCCTAGAGCAGAGTAAGGTTTCATAGTGCCAGCCCAGTGAGACACTATGTCACAGATACCATATCATGCAATCAAATCATCAGGGTACTCACTGTAGCCATCAGGTTTATACTGTTGCAGAATTTCTGTAAAGAGTGAGATGGGTTTATTTGGACCATATCTAACAAGGTGATACGATCCTATATTACAGAATACAGTTGGGAAATACAACCCCATGTTTGCTGGCTATCAGCAGCAGGACTCACAGGAGTTCCTCACCTTCCTCTTGGACGGTCTACACGAGGGACTGAACGAGGTGAGTAGCAGGTCAGAACATTGACTCACAGGAGTTCCTCACCTTCCTCTTGTACGGTCTACATGAGGGGCTGAACGAGGTGAGTAGCAGGTCGGAACATTGACTCACAGGAGTTCCTCACCTTCCTCTTGGACGGTCTACACGAGGGACTGAACGAGGTGAGTAGCAGGTCAGAATATTGACTCACAGGAGTTCCTCACCTTCCTCTTGGACAGTCTACACGAGGGACTGAACGAGGTGAGTAGAAGGTCAGAACATTGACTCACAGGAGTTCCTCACCTTCCTTTTGGACGGTCTACACGAGGGACTGAACGAGGTGAGTAGCAGGTTGGAACACTGGGTAGCTAGACCAGCAAGGTGGATATCGTGGGCTGAACATAAGGGTTTGATTGGGGTCACAACATGGGGGTTTAAAGCGGTGTATATTGGGGGTTTAACAAACGTGTAGCTGGACTTATGGGGTTTAAAGCTGTGTGTAGTCAGGGTTTAAAAAATGTTTAGCTGGGCTTATGGGGTTTAAAGCTGTGTGTATTCAGGGTTTTTATATGATAAGTAGTGAGGCCTATGGCATCATGGTGGTTTAAAGCTGTGAGTATTGGGGGTTTAACAAGATGGGTATTTGCGCCTATGGCTTGGTGGTTTAAAGCAGTGAGTATGGGGGTTTAAAGCTGTGAGTATTGGGGGTTTAACAAGATGGGTATTTGCACCTATTGCATGGTGGTTTAAAGCAGTGAGTATTGGGGTTTAAAGCTGTCAGTATTGGGGGTTTAACAAGATGGGTATTTACGCCTATGGCATGGGGGTTTAAAGCAGTGAGTATGGGGGTTTAAAGCTGTGAGTATTGGGGGTTTAACATGATGGGTATTTACGCCTATGGCATGGGGGTTTAAAGCAGTGAGTATGGGGGTTCACCATTAAAGGTCACGGTCGCCGTTAAAGAGGGACTGGATGTAGGTAGGGATTGAAATGTGGAGTATTAACAAGCACTCCAAATGAGTAGTGAAGGTACGAATAAGACAAGAAGGCAGAGATTGTATGATACCAATTTCTCGCTTTAATTGTCTGTAAAAGTATAATTTATCAACTGGAGTAAATTCATGTCCTGAACTGACCGCTTCACTGTAAAGAAATTATGCTGAGAGATTATTGTGTGTGTACTAGGTGAAGGTTCGGCCCAAGATACCGGAGCAAGAAAATGACCATCTCCCGGACCACCGGGCGGCAGAGATAGCCTGGCGTGACCACAAACGCCTGCACAAGTCCATAATTGTGGAACTGTTCCAGGTAATACCATCTGTGCCCTTTGGGGGGTGCTTGTGGTTTAGAATGCCTTTTTCTTTGAAGACCCTTGCTTTCCGATATCAATATGTACATGAATATTGCAACTTCTTTGTTGTCCCCCGCCGCAACGAGGAACAGGGGACTATGTATTTAGCGGCATCCGTACGTCTGTACGTACGTCCCGATTCTTGTTAACGCAATATTTCATGAACTGTTGTACCTAATGTTTTCAAATTTAGTGACAGCCTACATTGGGGGGATTACCCACACACCAGTCGATTTGGGTTACATTGACCTTATTTTCAAACTGTTGTTAACGTGATATCTCATGCACTGTTGTATCCAATGTCTTCAAATTTGGTGACAGCTTACGTTAGGGGATTACCCAGACATCAGTTGATATGGGTGATCTTGACCTTATCTTCAAGGTCACCACGACACTTTAACCACTTTTCAAACTTATTTTAACGCGATATCTCATAAACATTGCACCCAATGTTTTCAATTGTGTCGACAGCGTACATTGAGTACTTTTGCAGACACCAGTCATTTCAAGCATCTTGTATGTGACCAAAAAATAAAAAGTAGTAAATATGTTATAGATATTCCATCAGTGGCAAACACTTGTTGAGATTTGAATCTTGGACCATCTGATGCAAGGTATGCAGACCAATTGTATAGCCAGGACTGAAAACAGACAGTATAGTTGTTTCCTTTTTGTTTCACGCCACACTTAGCAATACTCCAGCTATATTCTGGCAGTCTGTAAATAATCATAAATAAAAGCTAGACCAGACAATCCAATGATTGATCTCATGATCTACACAATTTTGATACTGTGACTCACTTAACAAGCCAGGCTACCCAATTCCATTGGTCACTTTTTACAACAAGCAGGGGATGCTGTGGAACAATTCTTTACACAAATCTTTACAGATTTTACACCTGAAATAACTCTATTTCCCCAACTGTAATGATCTATCACAGTATTCGGTGATACATTTATGTAATGCTGCAGTGACCAGTGTTTGCATGTTACTGTACTATTTCATGTTACTCTACTTCTTACAGGGGCAGTTGAAGTCCACTCTTCAGTGTAAACACTGTAGCAAGAAGTCGGTGACGTTTCAGGCTTTCATGTTCCTCTCCCTGCCCCTTCCACAGCAGTCCAGGTGCTCTCTGAAGGTGAGTTATGAGCTTCAAAGTGTCAGACACAGGTTGAGGTGAGCTTCAGTGCCAAGTGCACGTCTACATCTTGAGCTCTTCCACAGCAGTCCAGGTGTTCTCTAAGGGTGAGTATGAGCTTCAAACTGTCAGACACAGGTTGAGGTGAGCTTCAGTGCCAAGTGCACGCCTACATCTTGAGCTCTTCCACAGCAGTCCAGGTGTTCTCTGTGGGAGAGTATGAGCTTCAAACTGTCAGACACAGGTTGAGGTGAGCTTCAGTGCCAAGTGCACGCCTACATCTTCAGCTCTTCCACAGCAGTCCAGGTGTTCTCTAAGGGTGAGTATGAGCTTCAAACTGTCAGACACAGGTTGAGGTGAGCTTCAGTTCCTAGTGCACGTCTACATCTTCAGCTCACCCACAGCAGTCCAGGTGTTCTCTAAGGGTGAGTATGAGCTTCAAAATGTCAGAGACAGGTTGAGATGAGCTTCAGTGCCAAGTGCACGCCTACATCTTCAGCTCTTCCACAGCAGTCCAGGTGCTCTCTGTGGGAGAGTATGAGCTTCAAACTGTCAGACACAGGTTGAGGTGAGCTTCAGTGCCAAGTGCACGCCTACATCTTCAGCTCTTCCACAGCAGTCCAGGTGTTCTCTAAGGGTGAGTATGAGCTTCAAACAGTCAGACACAGGTTGAGGTGAGCTTCAGTGCCTAGTGCACGTCTACATCTTCAGCTCACCCACAGCAGTCCAGGTGTTCTCTAAGGGTGAGTATGAGCTTCAAACAGTCAGACACAGGTTGAGGTGAGCTTCAGTGCCTAGTGCACGTCTACATCTTGAGCTCTTCCACAGCAGTCCAGGTGTTCTCTAAGGGTGAGTATGAGCTTCAAACTGTCAGACACAGGTTGAGGTGAGCTTCAGTGCCAAGTGTACGTCTACATCTTGAGCTCTTCCACAGCAGTCCAGGTGTTCTCTAAGGGTGAGTATGAGCTTCAAAATGTCAGAGACAGGTTGAGATGAGCTTCAGTGCCAAGTGCACGTCTACATCTTCAGCTCTTCCACAGCAGTCCAGGTGTTCTCTAAGGGTGAGTATGAGCTTCAAAATGTCAGAGACAGGTTGAGATGAGCTTCAGTGCCAAGTGCACGTCTACATCTTCAGCTCTTCCACAGCAGTCCAGGTGTTCTCTGTGGGAGAGTATGAGCTTCAAACTGTCAGACACAGGTTGAGGTGAGCTTCAGTGCCTAGTGCACGTCTACATCTTCAGCTCTTCCACAGCAGTCCAGGTGTTCTCTGTGGGAGAGTATGAGCTTCAAACTGTCAGACACAGGTTGAGATGAGCTTCAGTGCCAAGTGCACGCCTACATCTTCAGCTCTTCCACAGCAGTCCAGGTGTTCTCTAAGGGTGAGTATGAGCTTCAAACAGTCAGACACAGGTTGAGGTGAGCTTCAGTGCCTAGTGCACGTCTACATCTTGAGCTCTTCCACAGCAGTCCAGGTGTTCTCTAAGGGTGAGTATGAGCTTCAAAATGTCAGAGACAGGTTGAGATGAGCTTCAGTGCCAAGTGCACGCCTACATCTTCAGCTCTTCCACAGCAGTCCAGGTGCTCTCTGTGGGAGAGTATGAGCTTCAAACTGTCAGACACAGGTTGAGGTGAGCTTCAGTGCCAAGTGCACGCCTACATCTTCAGCTCTTCCACAGCAGTCCAGGTGCTCTCTGTGGGAGAGTATGAGCTTCAAACTGTCAGACACAGGTTGAGGTGAGCTTCAGTGCCAAGTGCACGCCTACATCTTCAGCTCTTCCACAGCAGTCCAGGTGCTCTCTGTGGAAGAGTATGAGCCACTCGCCCACAAAATGACAGACACAGGTTGAGGTACAGTGCCTAGGGCAGGACTCCATGGGGTGTTCTGTAAGGATGAGTATGAAGCACTGACCATCAAAACCTCTGGCACAAGCTGAGGTGCATGTTGTGCAACATGTTCAACTCCTGTTCAACTTAGTGTTGGAAATTGGTTAAAATCTCATAATTGATGATTGGTTCATTACAACCGATCAATCATCGAAAATAATTGGTTAGCGTCATTTATGAATGTGTAAATGCACAAAAAAATAAGGAAAAAAACATGTAGTTCTTTGGGGTTTTTTTTGGCAAAATTTCACATCTTTAAAGGATGACTAGTATGGAGGAACGTAAATTTCTTAGAGTCTTTAAGATAAATTCAATCATGACTTGGAACGAGCTTGTAGTGCTTATCAAATGTAACAGACAAAACCAACCTAGTGAAAAATACTGTTAATGAAAACAAGTGTTCTAGAATTATTTGTGTTTGATTATGAGAAAACATGATCGATTGCTTGGTCGTTTAGTCACTGCGACCAATCTTTGATTATTTCAATTAATCGGACCACCACTAGTTCAACTAACTCACCTTATGCAATGGGTCTTGGTCTGTTACCTGCCCTTCAGTTCGGAACTCTTCTCCCACACTGTTCAACATTAGCCTTGTTGTTTTATCACAATATGACCTATATGAGATAAATCAGCAAGTAATTAATTAATTAATTAATTAATATAATTAATCTGATTTCCTACAGGATTGCATATACAAGTTCCTCAGCCCCGAGATGATGACGGGCAGCTGTAAGTGGAAGTGCCCAAAATGTCGCGTTGAGAGAGATGCCGTCAAAAAAATCGACATCTGGAAACTTCCGCCTATTCTGCTCATCGGTCTCAACAGGTGAGCAGATTATCATTGCCACTGTTTTATTTCATCTATCACAGATTTGTCGTGTCCTCACCGCTTCCATTAGGTCCCAGAGTCCCGATCCACAAAGTGAGTGAGTGAGTTTAGTTTTACGCCAAATTCAGCAATATTCCAGTTATGTGGCAGCGATCTGTATATAATCAAGTCTGGACCAGACAATCCAGTGATCAACAGCATGAGCATCGATCTGCGCAATTGGGAACCGATGACATGTGTCAACCAAGTCAGCGAGCCTGACCATCCGATCCCGTTATTAGTCGCCTCTTACAATAAGCATGGGTGACTGAAGGCCACTTCACGGGTAGTGATGTATGGAGTGATCTGAAGCAGGAGTATATTAGTAATGTACTTGTAGTTCCACGGATCCATTCTCAAGGTGAAGTACCGTGAGAATGTACTTAGCGATCTGAAGCACATGTCACGATGATGTGTGTTAGACTTAATCTTGAAAGTCAAATTCAGTAGCGCTTCTAATGATGTTAGTCACATCTTCATATTTGTGTGAAACTTTTCTGACAGTATGAGGTTGGTGGTACAGCCTAGTGGTTAAAGTGTTCGCTTGTTACGCCAAAGGTCTGTGTGAAGCCCATTTCCCGCCTTGATATTGCTGGAATATTGCTAACAGCTGCGTAAAACCATACTTACACACCCATCAGGTGAAGGAGTAAGTATAAACTCTGAAATGTGTCTGCTCATCACGCAAAAGACCTGGGTTGGATTCCCCGATGTGTGAAGACATTTCTGATGTCCCCTGCTGTGATATTGCTGAAATATCGCTAACAGCGGCGTAAAACCACTCACTCACCCTTACGTATATATCAAAATACAGACGAGCGTTTCATACTCAACGCTTTTAAAATGATGTACTTCAGATTTGTGAGTGACGGGATGTGGACCCAGAAATCGACAAGCTACGTGGACTTCCCGGTGAGCGATATGGACATGAGAGAGCATGTCAGCGACCCCAAGTCCACCACCAGATACAACCTCTATGGCATCTCGGTAAGTACACCCTTTGGCTAGACTGACAAATTCCAGTTACCTTACGCCATTTTGGTAAAGAATTTACATGAGCTCGGTCCTTTGTAGGGGAGATTGGTATCTTAACGGTTAATGTGTCTGCTCATCACGCCAAAGGCCCAGGTTCAATTCCCCACATAGGTACAATGTGTGAAGCCCATTTCTGGTGTCAATAAATGTCATTTTTTCCAAAGTTGAAGAAAAATAAGAAGTTGTTGAAATATGTGACAATGCTCTTAAATTCTCACAAAAACAAACTGACACTGATCGTTTCACCTCAGAAAAAAATGAGACTTTGTAAGCTGACAATTGTCTCTACTTTGGTATCATGACATCATATTTTGTTCAAATGGTTAGATTTTAGTTTTTAGTTATTTATGCGGATGATATTTGAATTCAAATGCTGACAGTAATATTTTAGAACTGTACGTCTTTTTGGATGCTTTTAACTGACTCCATACTTTGCTGTGGCAGTATCTTTTTAGGGAAGGTGAGCTTCTGTACCTGTGTTATTTTCTTGTTTCAGAATCACTACGGGACCATGGAAGGAGGCCACTGTAAGTGACATGAAGGACTTTGTACATAAAGGGAACAATGAAATCTCAGAGTTGGGATAAATATTTCTTATAAGTTACAAAGTCTTTCTGTTGTTAAGCACTGTTCTTCTAGTATTCAGTGCCCTGTTTCAGAAAGCCATCATAGCGCCCTGACTGTGGTAAGTCTATGTTACAGTATAGGAGGTACGACAGTCGTAGCGCTACGATAGCTTTGTGAAACGGGGCCCAGGGCAGCGCCATGTAACTGAATTAGCTGACAGACTGACAGTCACAGTCACTTGCTGATATTTAACCAGTGTTTGCCCTGTTGGAAAGCGGTGGGACCCAGAACCACAAAAAAGTTGTGGGTCCTGATCAGAATTTATAGGACCTATATTTAATATGGCAATAATACTCTTGTTTATTGGGGATGAAAAAGCTGTCAGCTATGAGTACCTGCAGAAAACATAAGTTGTGGGTCTGAGTGGTTTTCAGTCGGCTTCGGGCCTAAGGACAGACGTTAATTTCGAACGCTGTATTTAACAAAAACTAAGTTTTTTGTTTTGTAAATATTTATTTTTAAAATGTTTGCTTATGTATACCACAAGGAGGACTCATCAAAGAATCAGCAACCTCTACAGGTTTGTTCGAATGTTTAGGGTCTTGCAGACAATGAGTGTCCTCTAAAGCGAGGAAAGGTGTAGCGTACTGTTGTTTTGATGATAGAACCAGCAATGTATCAGTGATCATGTAGACAGTTGTCTAAGTGAAATGTCCGATGCCCATAGCTGCTCCTGATACCCTGTAGAACGGTTGGGTAGCCTAGTGGTTAAAGCGTTCACTCGTCACGCTGAAGACTCGGGTTCAATCCCCACATGGGTACAATGTGTGAAGCCCATTTCTGGTGTCCCCCGCCGTGATATTGCTGGGATATTGCTAAAAGCAGTGTAAAACCTCGCCGCTCGCTCGCTCACCCACCCACCCAACCACTCACTCACTCACCACATGCCCTGTAGGTACAATGAATATGTTGGTGCATCAGTTAAGATGCAGTTTATTTTTTTTCTGCATCTCATCACAGCATGTATACAAACAGGACGCACATTGGTTGTCTGTGCAAAACTTGACCCATGAAGTGACCAAACAAACATATTTTTCAAACGGCATTAAACTCACCTCACTCACTCACCCTTCTTTCAGACACAGCCTTCTGTCGAAACCCCTGCACCAAGAAATGGTACAAGTATGATGACCACGAGGTGTATGAAATGTCACGCTCCGATGTCAAGGTAAGTTTTTCAGTTTTGCAGTGTTTTCAAATTTAGTGCATAAGTCCCAAAACTTCCAAAGTTAAATTTAAGCTTACCAGATTTTTAAACGTAGTATTTTTGTTCTTAAAATTCGGCTAAACTTTTCCTACAATCGCCAGCGGCTGAAGGGATGGTGTAAATCCAGCTAGGGCCCATGCAGGAAGCAATTGTGTAAGTCCCCATGGTTCCTAGTATGGTGATCTACCTTCAGTTGTTGGCGATCTATAGCCTGTTTTTTATACTGTATTGTCCTCTATAGTTAAAGTATTTTAGATTTCATTACTAGTTTTAAATATATATCTGTGATAGTCTAGTTGGTTTTACTGTCCTTTGTCGACAGATATTTTAAATTGATTACCTTGTTTTTATCGCTATATGGCTGTAATATTGCCGAAGCGATGTAAATTTTTAACTCACTCACTCAAATTTAGGGTAATGGGGTTAGTGAGGTCTTTGAATCAAGCAACCTCCAACTTGGATGTTTAACATGGAGTTTGCTTGCTATCTTCTAAACACTGCTGGTTAACAGTGGGTTAGGTGTTGGATTATTTTCAAGCCTGATAGGTTGAATGTTGACAACAAACACACACTCATGTTAGGGAAATTGCTTTTGATAAATTTTACTTTAAGTTTGAATTTTAATGGCAGCCAGTATGGTTAAAAAGACAAAAATACAGGAGTCGGAGACATGAGTCAACCACAGTGTATATGTTATCAGGGTTTGTTATCTGTTAAAATCCGTTATCTGTTGTTATGAATCTGTATTCTGTGTTCTCAGTGTTAGCTAAGGCTGGGACGATACACTATGTCACGATACGATACCTATTGCGATATTTTACCTGCGATACGATACGTATCACGATACATACACCTTGAAAGAATGACACAGTATTAAGATTTAAAATGATCAAGGTATTTGTGTAAAACAATAACACTATTGTAATAAGCAATCAAGTAACTCTATCATGCTTGCGTATTTTTCTCTAAATAATTACTTTAACATGTTTAAGAAATTACTGTTTTGAAAAAAGTTGTGTATCGTTTTGTATCGATACACCAGTCAACGATACGATAGCTGTATCAAACTTAAATGTATCGTGATGTATCGGTGCATCGGTGAATCGTCCCATTCCTAGTGTTAGCTGTATTGCCAGAATCACTAATTCAGTCATTTGTTTTGTTTTTGTTGCAGACATCCGCCGCCTTTGTACTGTACTACACGTCCATAGAACTTACAGCACCTATTTTCAGCCCTTCCCAGTAAAGCTTACAGCGTCTAAATACAGCCCTCAGCTGTAGCGCTGACAGCATCTAAATACAGCCCTCAGCTGTAGCGCTGACAGCTTCTAAATACAGCCCTCAGCTGTAGCGCTGACAGCATCTAAATACAGCCCTCAGCTGTAGCGCTGACAGCATCTCAATGACATTTTGTCGTAATCTTGGGTTTCGTTGTAATGAGAAGAAACTAACAATGCAAATTAAATATCTTAGTTAAAATTGACAAGTGAGGGATGGTCAGTTGACGTGGCACACGTGTGATGAGTTAACGACTTATCTGGCCCTTTGTACAGTTCTTGGATGGCTGTATGGATAGGTGGATATATGGATTTGTGGCTGGCTGGATGGATGGATCGATAAGTGGATGGGTGGGTGGGTGAATGGATGGATTGGACGATGGATGGATGGATGGGTGGACATTTATTTAGGTGTAGATATATATTCAGAATCAGACTCCACAATGGTGCAAGGTCTTGTTCTATATCATAGTGAGAACAAACAAATGATTCCGGCCAATTAATGAAAAACTGTCATTTAAAGTTAAAATATTCAAAGCACATTGGAGAACAACCTTTATCCTCAATCCAAAAGGCTAATATTGCCGATTGATGAAAATCGGAGTTATTTATAGAAAACAATTGATCTCAAGATCAATTACTGAAGATTTATAATCTTTAGTCCAGCTACCCGTATGGGTATGAAAGTAGTTTGTTACTGTATTTGAAGCAGTGGATTTCAGCAGAAAAAATACTCTCGATGTGATGCAGTGTTTAAAACTCCCAAAATTTCAAGCCAGGCGGCCGGACTGGTAACTTAAAAAAATTACCAGTCCGGATACAAACTTGCCTGTGCGGTTGTCAACAATAGAAAAACTGATTGCCATTTCCAACTTGCGCAAGCTCCATTTACTGTTTGTAGGCATCGCTGTGAACTACATAGCACTAACAGGCAATGCACCGAGTTTAGGTAAACTGATGGTACATGTGTTATGATTGGTTATCGTAACATGAACTGTACAATCGTATGTAGTTTAACATGATTTTCATAATACCTTAAACACCTCAAACTGACGACAAGAGAACCTGTCTGATATTATGAAATATTTACTCTTAGGGGTAAAAATATCTACCAGACCACAGGACAGGCTACTTTTGAAATAGACTGTTCCGGACAGTCTGGCAGGCGGGAGTTTTAAACGCTGTGTGATGGTTAGTTCCAGTGAGGAATCCAAGGAAGAACTTGCGCTCTCTGAAAATGTGTTGGAAGTAATGGAGTTACTGTAGGTACAATTTCCCAGCTGTAGTTATCTTCATTAAAACATTGTTGTCAGAAGTGACTAATAGGATCAGGTGGTCAAGTTTGCTGACTTCGTTGACACATACATCACATCCCAATTGCGTAGATTGATGCTCATGATGTTGATCACCGGATTATCTGGTCCAGACTCGATTATTCAGTCAGAAAAATTTGGGTGTTTACTATGTTAGCCAGGTGAGGTTTTTATATTTTATCATGAACCAAGAGGAGTCCTTTTAAGCCCTTATTTGTAGATTACTGATGGATTCACAGTAAGTCTTTCATTATCTCAAGTCACAAGTCCTGTATAAGTTACCTCCCTTGTTTGAGACAGGGACAACCCAGTTGTCTTAATGCCACTTGTCTGTACAGTGTTGCCTCCCTTGGATTCACTATCATTCAGGGTTCAAATCCCAAGTAAGGCCTGATGATGTTTCTGGTTTTGTTGGCGGCATATCCATAGCCCTGGTTTCACTGACAGTAAACTGAAGGGCCAGCCTCACTTTGGGCGTTCGTCCCATATCATACCGACTTGCCATGATATAACTGGAATACTGTTCAAATTGATATTAAACCCACTTTCACACAAACCCACTTTCACACACACTGGAAGCTCTTCAAGATGTATGTTACCAATGAAGAATCTCTCCAGAACTCAACATGATTGTGATCCAAAAGGAAGTAACTCTTCAAGATATATGTTTATAGCCATTGTTGTGTAACCAGGTTGATTTTGTAGACTTTTATGGTGTCCATCTTGTCATGCACACTGACATTTGCACACTGTCAGTGGCATTTGTTTGTTATTATTTTGTGCCAATATGAGACATGCGAGTTACGTCATTGTCAAATTGTTGTCACCTGTAACAGGCTTTTCTCATGTTTTTCGGTGTTTCTCATCTGCCTACGCTAGATATCCCAAGTGAAATAACTCAGAATTTTCTTATCTCAAATTTTCTTCACACTGTCAAATGTTTTTAACTGATATGAAAAAAATTTGCAGTCTCATAAAAACAAGTCAGTTTGCATTTTTTCGTCTATATTTGTAAAGATATTGTTTCTGTTAGGGTAGCCTTGTGGTTAAAGCATTCACTCATCATGCCAAAGACCTGGGTTCGATTCCCCACATGGGTACAATGTGTGAATCCCTTTTCGGTGTGCCCTGCCATGATATTGCTAGAATATTGCCAAAAAACGGCATAAAACTAAACTCACTCACCCATCTCTAAAAGTTTAGGGATGTTGGGTATGTTCTGTTAAGGAAGAAAGGGTATACAATTTGATGATGACGTATCCACTGGTGTCAGGATATTTGGGGGTGTTTTCTTGTGATGCTATCAAAACAATGGCCAATACTTTGTGTTATTGAACTTGATTTTATGCATGAGTAATCTGTATATTATGATGGTAGTATTTTGTGCAATGAAATCAATTTAATGTAAATAGTTTCAAGTATTTGTGCATTGTTATATTTATTGGACAAATCCAAAGTGATGTTTTTGTGTTTGATAAACTTAAAATCATGGCTGTGTAGGTATTTGGTTTAACTCTCAAGGTTAGGTAAATCTTGTTTATTGTGGTCCATGCAAACTGCTTTTTGCCAAACATATGATTACCCCAGTGGAACTACCAGATCAGCCAATCAGAAGACTTCTTTCAGATCTATGATAGAGCTTTTCAGCCAATCAAGACTCTCCTCTTTTATGCATCTTTATGTTGTGTATTGTTTCCATGAAGATCAGTTGTGCTGTATGGTTACTTTGGGGAAAGTATAAACACAATGGAACTACTAGATCACCCAATCAGAAGGCTTCAACCAGATCTGTGATAGAGCTTTTCAGCCAATCAAGTCTCTCCTCTTGTATGAATCTTCATGTCGTGTAATGCTTCAAGCAAGATCAGAAGCGCTGTATGGTTTCTTTGGGGAAAATGTATTGTCATTATTGCCTCTGGGAAGATCCAGGTTAGTATTGTCATTCAACATCCCATATCCCATTGGGTGGCTCAGTTGATGTATGTCATAGCATCCCAATTGTATAGATAAGTGCTCATGATGTCAGTCACTGGATTGTCTGGACCAGACTCAAATATTTACAATCTTGAATCACTTCAGTAATGTTCTTTCAGATAAGCAGATTATATAGCTGAAATATTGCTGAGCGTAACATATGTTATATTTGGGATTACACTTTCTTAGTAAAGTACATTTGTTGGGTTGAGTCCGATCCGGGAATTCAAGCCCACACCCTCACAGTCAGGCGCCTAATCGCCAGCACAAAAAGTCAGACGCCTAACACAGAGATGCCAACGTCTACGATTTTATCGTAGTCACTACGAATGTTAGCCTCAAACTACGCCATTGCGATTGCATAAGAAAAACTACGAAATTTGAAGAAAAAATTCATTAAAATTCGGATATATAGACAAAAACATATATGTTCGTCGATTAAATACATTTTTGGACTTCACTTACCTTCCATTCATCAAATTTAATGACATATTTGAACTGGAATCATTGCAAGTTACAAACGTAAGTTTAGCAAAATTGTCTATATATCAGAAATCTGAAACTGATTTCAATTTGCGATTTGACCCACTTATTGTTTACCGGCGGAAAATGACGATCCTATGGGAATGATTTAACCACGTGACTGTTCCTTCCGTTCGATTATACGAAACCGGTATGTGAAATTAGAGCTTCATTCTTGATTTTAAGTATTTAGAGGACTACTAATTTTATGGTCTACTGATTTTGATCCTTGACACTACTACTTGCAACACTTTGGGGTTGGCATCTCTGCTAACCCGTTCAGCCACCGCGACTTCCAGAAAACGGATGTCGGACGACTGGTAGTCTAGACCATAGTCTTTGTGTACGCCTCTGAGAAGTGTAAACGGCTCCCACGGCACATTGTTTACATTTAACCCCAATCTAAATGGCATTGTGTATTCACATTGCTGAGTGGGTTAAAGTACAAGGTGAGGTGATATGGGGTTTAACGTCGTGCTTGAGAATATTTCGCTCATATGTCGACGTGCATGCGTGTGTATGTGTATGTGTGGCTGCTTGTACTAGCCCAGACTTAAGCTGGTTTTATAGTGCTAGCCCACTGAGATACCTTGCCGCAGTGAAGCATGAATACCCCACTCAGACGCATTATACTGACTCCGAGCCGACCAGTCCTTGTTGTACCCATTAATGCCGAGCGCCAGGCAGGGACCAACAAGTACCATATTTAACGTCTTTTGGTATGACGCGGTCTGGGATCGAACCCGCGACCTTCCGTTCTCCGGGCGGACGCTCTAACCACTACACCACGGAGGCGGTCGGTTAAAGTACAAACAATGATGTACCTTGGACCTTACGGAATTAAATGTACTGCTCTGTCACTGTACGGGGTTATTCCCATCATGCTTAGAGTGTAGAGTTTGTTACTATTGTAAATAAACATATGCTGTGAGCTCATGGCCTGTAGGGCGGTGGGGTAGCTTAGTGGTTAAAGCGTTCGCTCGTCACGCTGAAGACCCGGGTTCGAATCCCCACATGGGTACAATGTGTGAAGCCCATTTCTGGTGTCCCCCGCCGTGATGTTGCTGGAATATTGCTAAAAGCGGCGTAAAACCAAACTCAGTCAGTCAGTCAGTCAGTCATGGCCTGTACAGTAATAGCTTAATTCAGCATAGCAGAAA